TAAAAATAATAAAAAAAAAAATAAAAATAAAAAAAAAAAAAATAACTTTAAACAAATAAAACTTATAAAAGTTAAAAAAACAATAAAGCAAAACTGTAGATACCATAACAAGATAAAAAAATTATATATAACATAGTCTGTCCCAAACACTGCAGCACTTATAAAAAATATTACGCTTAAAAACGACAAACTACCTCTACGCATACCCCCACTATCGAAAAACCGCACTACCCACACCTCTACAAACCCCAAAAATAAACCCTCACCTTTATACTATAACAACAATACCTAAGCACATGGTTATGGGACAATCTGGCCCCTCGCAATACACACAACTACAATAATATGGAGAAACAAAAAACACACTCTCCCACGCGCGCAAAATACTCTGAACCTAGTCACCACCAAAAAAACATTCGTGCATGCCACATCCCAAGCATAACCAACAATCCCAAAAAAGCACCGCGCCGAAACGACACGCATAAAACAAAAGCAAAAACACTTACGAACAAGACAAGAAAGAACATGATACGCCCTACACTCTCCATAGCCAATCCGTCACCGAAAGCGACAAGAAACCCCACACCCCTACGCCAGCGTATGCAAGATGAAGCAAACAAAAAAACCTGTAACCTGACATCACCACAACTGCAAGCGCGCTTACCCTTTCTTCGACCCCTGCAACTCTCTCCCCCCTTTTTTCTTCCCCCTAGCCCATACCCAAAGAATGACGCACAGACCCACCCCAACCCCGAAAAAAGGGAACCACCATACCTAGCCTCTCTCCATCTGCCAAAAGACTCCTACTCCCCATGTATACCCGTCATCCCCTTCCCCCCCCCCCCCAAAAAAAAAAGAGTTTCGTTTTTCGCCTCCTTGCTTAAACCACTAATCACGCCCCCTGCCCATCCTACCCCGACAATATATCCAACATGCAGCATGGCGAACTACATCAAATGCCTCTTGCCAGCACATCCCATCCCTCCGCTTTTGAGACCTCCGCCACTACTCATACAGGCAACCGCGTGCTGCTACGCGCTCGCATTGGCCTGCCCGACTCCTCTCTCCTTCACCGATCGTCTCCCTTACGCTCTTACACGCTCCTCACCCGACCTCCTTGACCCTGGTGCTGATCCGTCTCCTGGCCTCGGTGTAACGCACTTTCGTGCACTTCCTGCTATTCTTACTCAGTAAGCTACGTGACACTACGCTGCGCAAACTCGCTTCTTGCGATGGCGGCCACTGATCTTCCAGCAACACCGACCATAACTGCTCAGGTATGGATCCCTAACCCCCCTAACCCCCCACCTAAAAAATCCCAATGTTGTATCACCATGAAAACCTCACAACAACCTCTGTACCCTCTACCCCCATCCCTTCTTTAATCCTTGGTACTGATGCTAATAGGAGTCTTTACCAACTATCCCTCTGATGAGCTGCTATGGGTGCTAGGCGGCGAAAAGCACGCTTATTTTTGAGGGCGTGCACCCTCCCTACAGTTGGCCTCACAAGCCATTCCTAACCCCATGTTTAACACTAACTACTAATTACTAATTACTAATCTGCTCCCCCCCTAACTTTGTTTTTTTGTTTTTTTCTCTCTCATATCCTCGCAAACGCGTTGATGGCTAAGTACCCCCCACCCCCCCTTTTTTTCTATGTTTGTGTTGCGGCTAACCCCCCCTTTTTTTGCGATATTGCAGGCATGATGGTCTTGTTCCCCGTGTATACGGGGTGGCCGTATCTTACATACAAACATCACACACGCATACACACACACACACACACACACACACACACAATCGATCGACCGATCGATCGGATCGATCGATCTGATAGGTCGGATCTCTCTCTCTCTCTCTCTCTCTCTTTCTCTCTCTCTCTCTCTCTCTCTCTCTCTCTCTCTCTCTCTCTCTCTCTCTCTCCCTCCTTCCTGTCTCTTATACACGAGAGACAGAGAGATTGGCCATCATGGAAGGCAGCGCTCCATGTGGTGCTGCTGCCTGGGCAAAACCAGGAAGAATCTTTCCGCCCCACATGGCAGGGCTTCATCCCCCAATCATTCTTCCTCTTTGAGACTGAGGCTGGAGTGCGCCACAGCACAACGAGCAAGAACAAGCCCGCCCCACATCGGTCGGCTTCATCCCCAATCGTTATTGCTGTCAGAGACTGAGGCGGGAGTGCTGTCATGTGGCACGGCCAAGTTTGTCCTCACACTGCCGTGCGCTGTCACGAACATGGTCGCGCCAGATGGGACAGCCACATGGAGCGCTGCCTTCCGCTATCCTCTCTCTCTCTCTCTCTCTCTCTCTCTCTCTCTCTCTCTCTCTCTCTCTCTCTCTCTCTCNACAAAAGCAATCGCAGGGCACATGCCGAGGCGGTCCAGCGTTTGACAAACGCTGAACCCCGCCTGCCCGGCGACGCATTGGCGGGGGTCCAGCGTTTGACAAACGCTGGACCCCGGCAATGCCTCGTCCGATAGGTAAAGGTCCAGCGTTTCACAAACGCTGGACCCCCGCCAATGCCGAGGCTCGCAGGCATTGGTCCAGCGTTTGTAAAACGCAGGACCCCGTGGACCCCCGCCAATGTTGAGGCTGGCAGGCGGGGGTCCAGCGTTTATCAAACGCTGGACCCCCACCTATGGCGAGGCAGGCGGGAGGGGGTCCAGCGTCTCACAAACGCTTGACCCCCGCCTGCCAGCAGCGGCATTGGCGGGGGCTCAGCGTTTGTCAAACGCTGGACCCCCTCGACACCGCTAATGCCGAGGCTGGCAGGCGGGGGTCCAGCGTTTGTCAAACGCTAAACCCCCGCCTATGGCGAGGCAGGCGGGAGGCTGTCTCTTATACACATCTAGATGTGTATAAGAGACAGCTCTCTCTCTCTCTCTCACTCTCTCTCTCTCTCTCTCTCTCTCTCTCTCTCTCTCTCACACACACACACACACACACAAACTACGATTTCGTCAAAACGGACATTTTTTATTTTTTGAACGAAATTGAAACTTCATTTTTTTGGCTTTTTTTTCTTCATTTGTGAATTATTTGTGATACGAAAAGGGGGTAAGGGGTATGGGGTATGGGGTAAGGGGTACGGGGTAAGGGGTAAGGGGTAAGGGGTAAGGGGTAAGGTGTAAGGGGTAAGGGGGTCCAACGTTTGAGGGGTAATGGGTAAGGGGTGAGGTGTAAGGGGTAAGGGGGAGAGGAGTATGAGGTAAGAGATGAGATGACCTTTCATAAGATATCCTTATTGCACGACCAGTTACATTCATCGTGAACCTCATCATTAATCCTCGTTACACTTACAAACTTTTCTTCTCCTATATCAGATCTATTTCTTATCACTACATGGTCATTTCATGTGTTCGAACGTCTATTCTGTAAATGGAACAAATTTGTCTACCCCACAAAAACTACGTCAAAAGCTATCCGGCATTGTATTTTCTTTGTGTCATCTGATGTGAACTTGAAAGATGGAAGAAACCCTCTTGCCAATAGTGATGCATATGTTAGCATAAACACGCCGCACTCGTTGAAGTCACGCTGCTTTCGAATGTCTTCAACTTCCCATATATGGTTGAAGTTTTTCGTGTCGATTTCTTGACCTTGTTCGACTGACCTAATGTAGAGAAATTTTGCAAACCTCCCTGTCACCTTCGCCGCGAGTTCAACATCCGGCGTCAGTGAATCGTAGTACTCTATTTTCCTACGCCTAAGGTCTGCTGCTACGAGTATCCAATGTTCGTTGTGCGCGACGTGAAAAGGTGCAATGATCAAATCCATATCGCTAATAACGACCTCTGTGAACCATTTACGAACCTTTTCGTACTCGAACTTCATATTACTATCGAATAGTTTTGCAAAAAAAAATGAGCTTAGAACTGCTATTGTTGGAATACGCCCCTTTCCTGTTCTAATGACGTTTTCGTTTTCGGAATCGCAATTATGGTGCTTCACACGACACTCATTGTCCAGTCGGACAAGGTTAAGATAAAAATTAACTATCTGCTCGTTCAACCATTTTTTTTTATCATTAGCAAGCTAAAATCGTTCACTATCATCGTTAATTCTTCTTTTGTGTCTTCGTTGAATGAACTTGCTATGACGTCGCTATCCCCAAGTTTCACTCGCAACCGCGTGACGGCCTCCATCTCTCTCTCCGTCAAATTCGTTGTTGCCAAGTGGATGGTCCATCCTTTTTTGCACCTCCAGTTATCCTCCATCGACGTTTGCGCTGCAGAGGACAACGCGCCATGTCTTTATGTGAGCTAATATTTCAATGCGTTCATTTCTAGTAATGTTCATTGCATACAATTTGTTGTAGTAATGCGTAGTAAGGGTTACCTTAAAAGAGCGGAGTGTGTAGGGGTACTAGTAATTTATGTATGTTAAACCCAATACACTTCATTACTTTCTTTCATGTTCTTTCATCATATTCATCAATCGCATTAACTAGGAGTTACCTTAAACGAGTGAGTTTCAAAAAAAAAATTTCACCAATGACATGTCTTCACTATATTCACGACCACATTACCTGTGTTTTGTGACATAGTGCACATATATTTATGACATTCCTCGCTATTAATCACACTTTCGTTAGATTCATCGATTGATCAGTCGACCCAAAGATAGATATATATATAGATAAATATATATATAGATAGATAGATAGATAGATAGATAGATAGATAGATAGATAGATAGATAGAGAGAGAGAGAGATTGACACTGTTATCTACTGTCCTCTCCAATTCACTGCGGAAATCAAATATTATATTACACGTCTCCCACCGAAAATGTTATCTGAGTTGCGTACAGCATTCAGCACTCACACACATACACAGAGTGTCATGCCAACCCGAACTCAGCCTCAACATATATCTACACATTAACCGGGTGTTTTTTCTTTATTTCTCTTGTCGACCGTCTCGCAGGTCGACCTCCGTCATCCACTCCTTTCTGTTCATCAACATTATCCCTTGCATCCTCATTGTCATCATGCCCCCCTGCATGTACGTCTACTCCTTCATCGCTTAACGATATACAATTAATCACTGTCTAGGACGTGGTTGATCCTTCATCCTTCCTCTTCGCCTCCTTCTCCGCCTCCTCCAACACCTTCATCATCTCATCGGAATCATTTTGCAACTCAGTCACACATTCTGCATACCCACCTCCTTGCATTCCATTTGAAACCGCCATGTTCGTGGAAGGAGTGGGGCTCTCCATCTGTGATACACTCTGGTTTTCCGCCTGAGTTAGTAGAGGCGGCCCGTACGATGCAACGTTCGAAGGATCGTTGTCGACATTCTGTGTTCCTTTGTCCACCCCCATTATCTTGACAGCAGTTTGGCTCATCGCTTCCCCTACACTGGCAGCAAAGTGCGTTGTCGACTGCCCCCCAAGCTGTGAGCATCCCAACTGGATTGTCTCGATGCCTTGCCCCTCAGAAAGAAGTTCGATCTTCCAATTGATGTCGTTGTATGAGCGGCTTGACGACAAGTCATAGAACTTGTGTTTATATTCCAGCTGATTCTCGGAGTGCAGATAATCGAATAGCAATTGAGCCTTCTCCTCAATAGCTGCCTCGCTCGCTCCCTCGTTTTCTTTCCTAACACAAAAGACGATTTCGCTCTTTGCCAATTTCAACCATGGTACTTCTGCCAGTCTGGGTTTGACTTTCCATCTTGATGCTAGATGCAGTGCCATCATCCACTCTCCGTTGACAATGCATGACTCGAATACGTTTGTATGCCACAAAATGTGATGCCCCCACTTCTCAGACGCCGTTTCTGGCACCTTGTCTTCAATTAAGTACGGCTGTTCACTGACCTGCACAATGCGATCGGGAACATCATCACCGGGCTTCAGCCTCGGAAGGGTATCTAAAACCGCCAAGTCATCCTCATCGTCGTCTGCCAGCATGTTCTGTTCCGTGTTTCCTCCAAGAGTGTGAGGCCTTCCCTGGAACCCGTGACGATTGCCATGAATCAATGTATTATCAAGTGCTTGGAGGGACATAGGCGAATCCGTTTGCATTTCTTCAATGGAACTCGCCCTGTCGGTCACGTCACGCGTTGGACTACTCGCACCTCGCGATTTCGTGTGACTTTCTTTTGGATTCTTGTTCGGAACGCTGCATGCAGGCACACTTTGCACTTCCTCTCGCAAACGTTTCACTCGCTCTTCGATTTCGAGGTCTGAGGTTTCGGTCTCCTCGTCGCTCTCGATCGGATTCCATGCATCGTTTGTTTTGGCAATGTTGCTGTACTCATCGTACGTCAGCATTGCCTGATTTGTTGTGAACTTCATTTGTTCACATCTCGCCACGAACATTGCAAACGCACCCACCTGCGCTTTATGGTAGCCACCATACGCTTCCTGTGTCATCGCTTTGCGAACTATGTAGTCATGCTCGAATGGCGACTTGCTTTGGCCTTGGAACAAATACTCCCACATCTTGTTTCTCTTCTTGCCCAGCTTGTGGTACATGTCCCTATCCGGACGATGCGCAGTCTTCTGTCTCTCAACCTTGCAATCGTTTCTCGCGTCTTTCCAAAGAATTTCGATGGCCTTCGTCAAGTACGAAATGTCTTTCAATGACGAGTCGCATGAGAAAACATGATGGCCAGCGCGCAGAAGTTCCCACACAAGTCTAGCATACGACTTTCCAATAAGAATCACCCCCTGATCCTCATGCAGAAACGAACTCTGCAACCGTTTGGGATGTCGTTCCCACCACCCATATATCTCTCGTTCGTTTTCTTCCTCGCCGCCATGCCTCGCTATGCACCTCTTGAACTGCTCCTCCTCAACGTTTAGCTCCACTAGCTCCGCCTCTGATTTAGGAGCCCTCGTTACCTTTTTGAGGTTGCCGCCCTCGGCATACAGGACGACAACCATCGTGTCCTTATAATCGACTTGCCAGTTTTCGTACTTGCTGACAGTCGTACCGACCGCGAGGAAACGCTTCCAAGTCCCGGGTATCACCTCTGCATCGTCCCAGTTGTAAAGCTGCTTCATGACGATCTTATGTTGTTTTGCGGGGCAAAAAAAATCAAAATTCAATTATTCCTGCATAATTTCGTCATCGTTTTGTGCAGAGCGTCGAAATCGGCTGGCGACCATGCAAGGCACTCCTTCGGGTTGGCGAGATCGAGGATGGCCGCCTTGCAATTCAAGTTCGTGACCGCAGTCACAATTTCGTCGGCCGCGGGCAGTAACTCCTTGGGGTGCATGTTGACCGGTAACAATGTTGACCGCCGCTGTTTCTTTTCCCAACTAAGATTAAGTGCAGCGTTCTTTAACAGCCGCAACTCAGCTGTCAGCAAGTTCACTCTTCCAATTGCATGGTATACGAAGTACTTGAAGTGGAAAGGTGCGTCCCTATACAACGCTGCCGTGGCCTTCAGACCGGCTCCTTTCTGATATTTTTCCTCATGCTCTCCGTCGAGCCTTTTTGGAACCCTCCGGACATATTCCAAAGGGATCCTATCACTTTCCTCATCCCATTCGGCTGCCTTCGCACCAAACCTCTCCTCCACTTTTTCATAGTCGAATAAGTTTCCATCCTTCCATTCTTTCGCCTCTCTGTTCTCCGATTTGAAGATGATGTAGTTGAACAGTCGCATCATGTATCTCTCGCGCATTATGATATTGAGGAGGTTGGTCATGTTCAACTTTCCAGGAGGAACCAGTCTAGTAGTGACGATGACTTTCTTATTTATCATCAACCGCAATGCAATTTCCTTCTCTCGTGTCGTCATATCTCCAAAACATTTGAAGTTAGATGGAACGAGATCTTTGAAGGACACCGTAGCGTTTGGTCCCCCGTCCATAGCCGGAATGCAACGGAACACCTCCTTCTTCCCCTGCACCTCTTCAGTGAATTGGCCCGGCACCCGGCCTTCCTGCTTCCCGAGCAAGTCCTTTGGGCATTTGTTGTCGTGTAGCAGCAGCTCCCCCGCCTCGAACTTCTCAAAAAACTCCTTTACCAATGACCATATCCTGTTCTTGCATGTGGCGACATTCATGTATCCACTCATTCTGTTCGTCCAGTCCTGTTGCCACTTTGGAACCAAACTCTCGGTCCACAGTGATTTCTCACATGACTTCCCCATGCACGACTTCAGAAATTCCCTCCATGTTTTTTGGTGTGACAAACCCTTGGGATCTCCTTTGGACACGTTCCCCACAGGCCCGATCCGTTCCTGCGAGTCCCAAAATCCTCTGATGTCCTCGCAGGCGTAGTGGAACGACGGCAACATAGCACGGTCACCTCTCGTGTTGTCGTATATCGAAACAAACGCGTACCCGTTCTTATGGTCGTCGTCGAAATAAATGATCCGTACACGATCATAATTCCGAAAGCCGAACACCTCCACTGCTGCAGATTTCTTCGCCACTGCTCTTTTCATAGCTTCCGAAGTATGTTGACCGACAACCGGGTAATATAAATACTCATCTGCCCTATCGGGGTCGAATTCCTCTGGAAGGACGCGTATCCCTTGTTCGTTGATGTCCTTTGATGGCTTAATCGGAGCCAGCACCAACTCCGGTGGATCCCACGGAGCAGGATCATCCTCGGACCTTGGACGAGTTGATGCTTCGATAACCGCTTCGATGCCGTGCACGATGGCCGGGTTCATCGATCGCTGGTTGAAGGCGATATCTCCCACCGGAATTCGAAGAATCTGCATGACGTCAATGACAACCCTCGGCGGGTCTCTTCTCTTTTTGCCGTCCTCATCGTACTCGAGAAAGAAGCACTGCGTCATGTTGACCGCACTGGGTTTCTTTGTCTCTTGCTCCTCGTCGTCAGGGAGGGAGAGCAAGCGAGGGGCCACCCCTTCAGCATCGTCGCTCGAGTCGTCCCATTTCTGGCGCCTTGATGGCCGCACGGGCTTCTTGGGTTGTGACGTTTTGCGATTCCGAGTACTTGATTTGCATTTCACATCGGCTTCACCTTTCGTCCCTTGAGATGCATTCAAGGCGACCCGAGCTTCGTCCACAGCTTTCCTTCGAGCATGCTTCTTAGGCGCAGCTCGGGTCGGCGACGATTGCGCTCGGCGTTTTGCCCTCCCTTAGGAAGCAAGCCCCGGGAAAACACCCGCATCTCCTCCTTCGGCTTCCAATTCCTCGTCTTGCATTTCCGAACCACCCACACTGCCATCGCCCACCCCACCGCTTGCCGCAACCTTCTCCCACTCCATGTGGTCCACCGCTCCTCGAACCTGTTCTCTGCGCTCGCCACTACCACACTCCCCTTCATGCTTGTTGTATTCTTCATCGTCCCTCACCAGGGCTTCGGCACCTCCAGCAGCTTCCCGCCCCACATTCACATCGCAAGAGCCTTCGCCCTGGATGTGCCGAGGCGTCGCTAACAACCGTGAATGCAATTGGCGAACCCGTTCGTCTTCCTCCGTATCTTCCTCCGACTCCTCGTCCATTCCACGTTGAGCGGTGTCCCGCAAGCGCGAGCTGGCACCAACACGAGAGCTACCAAAAAGATCCGAAGGAGGTATGGCGAGCCCCTTCTTCTTTGGAAGGTTTCCCGATGACCCACCGCCTGAACGCCTCTGGTAAGTTATGACTTCATCCTTTCCGCCGACAGGTTGTTGTGGTGTCGAGACAACCTGCCGATGATCGCTAGAGCACGTTGATAAGCCTGCGAGACTCTCGACAGGAGCGTCGAACGGGACAAGAGGTAACGTGATGTGGTGACCAGCGGCGACTGTCGGGAATTGACCACTTTTCCTATAGCCATTGGTCTTGCTGAGGAATTCAATGGGTAAGAGCATCCTAAACGTATTCCCATCTCGCTTGCTGCCGAAGGCTTTCATAGCGAATGCCTTCTGACCATACCCCTTGAACAGAGCAAGGTCGAGGTTGACCTTGTGGTCAGTCTTGACCCAGTTTGTACCCTGCTCATCGTACACCAAGTGAGGAAGAACTTCCTCAAATCGCGCTCGTCAACCTTGCCCTTATCCGCCGTGGCCTTGTCTTTCGAACCTGATGATGCCACCACAACAGTACCAGGTCGCCCCTTCATCTTCCGTCAAAAACACAGCAGCACCGCACCCGGGCTCGCCGGCCACTCCGACCCAGTCGAGAGCCCACAACTTGTCGCGGTATAGTTTCGACCTGTTGTTGTACATCTTATCCGCATCATTCAGACCCTTACGACCTCTCCCTGGAGGAGACATCCAAAAGAAAAAGAACGAGGGATGCATTAATGTCAACTATCGCTATCTCTCACGACACGATATAGAACATAGCAAAACACAAAAGCAATCGCAGGGCACATGCCGAGGCGGTCCAGCGTTTGACAAACGCTGAACCCCGCCTGCCCGGCGACGCATTGGCGGGGGTCCAGCGTTTGACAAACGCTGGACCCCGGCAATGCCTCGTCCGATAGGTAAAGGTCCAGCGTTTCACAAACGCTGGACCCCCGCCAATGCCGAGGCTCGCAGGCATTGGTCCAGCGTTTGTAAAACGCAGGACCCCGTGGACCCCCGCCAATGTTGAGGCTGGCAGGCGGGGGTCCAGCGTTTATCAAACGCTGGACCCCCACCTATGGCGAGGCAGGCGGGAGGGGGTCCAGCGTCTCACAAACGCTTGACCCCCGCCTGCCAGCAGCGGCATTGGCGGGGGCTCAGCGTTTGTCAAACGCTGGACCCCCTCGACACCGCTAATGCCGAGGCTGGCAGGCGGGGGTCCAGCGTTTGTCAAACGCTAAACCCCCGCCTATGGCGAGGCAGGCGGGAGGCTGTCTCTTATACACATCTAGATGTGTATAAGAGACAGCTCTCTCTCTCTCTCTCACTCTCTCTCTCTCTCTCTCTCTCTCTCTCTCTCTCTCTCACACACACACACACACACACAAACTACGATTTCGTCAAAACGGACATTTTTTATTT